TTCTCAGCCATTATCTTTTTGAATATTGCTTTCCTCCCATTTTCTCTTTCCTCTTCTTTTTGTTAGACATTTTTACTGTAGCTTATACATCTCTGAACATCTCATATTCGCAATCTCTTTATACCTCTGTGCCACATCCTGCTTAATTTCTCCAGCTATCTTCCCCTTTATCCATTGTTTTTTGGCTTTACCTAATCTTTTTTTAAAGTCACGCACTGAGTTGTCAATTGTAATGACTATATTTTTTCGTTTTTAGAAGTTTTTTTTTTTGAAATCTGCTACATCCAGCTTTTTTTTTTGTAATTGACTATTTCCCGAAGATATCGTCCATCTTGTCTTCTATTTGTTTAGACATAGTAACTGTAGATATTTCCTAATCTAACTGATTATTCCAAAAAACAAACATCTTTGCAGATCTGTTTCCTCTGTCCGTTATTTTTTCTGATTCGTACCAACACTGGCTTTTTTTTTTTTTTTCCTTATGTACTTGTTTTTGACTGTGAGCTTCTGGTTTGCTTTGAAAACTTATTTGAAGGGAGTCTTTGAGGTCTGGGATGAACATGTTTCTCCAGAGACAATTTGCGTTTACTTCTGCAAGGCATGTAGGGGGCATTATCTGTTTAAATTGATTCACTGAAGGTTTATTTTTCAGACTATCCAAGTGAAGTGATTTTAGGTTACCTTTTCGTCTAGGGTCAGCTTGTAGTTATAACTTCTGAGAGGCAATCCCTCCCTATGTCCTGCTCTGCTCAACGCCAGGGAAAAACCTTGTCATCTCTTGGGTGTGGAGTGGACTTGCCCTTATCCTAAAAGTATTTTGGGAGTTGAACTTTATGGAGAAGGATCACCTATGAAACTGTCTTGGGTTGGGCCCTGGGCATTGAGTCGTCTCCCTTGTGCTCACTGAGTCCATGAAAACTGATTGTTCCCTGTTTGGCAAGCACCTTTAACACAAGAGGGCGCTTCTGGCCTCCACGTATCTCTCATATTTCCTCAGCAATTGGCCTCGTAATGCTTTACTATCTTACTCATCAATGCTTTCGATATGTTCGTGTGTCAGTAGGTATTTTTAGTTTCACTTAGTGGTCAAAGGGGTCCAACTAACTTATCCCATTATATTACTGGAGCTGGAAGTCCAATTGTTTATTTTTAAACTTGTTGTGGATGTGTCTCTTGTGAGGATGGTTGAGAGTCTTTGTCTTTCGGTGGGAAAATGTACTGGGTTCACATTGCTTGTGATTACCAATATGCCTGAGTATATTCTTGCCTTACTTTATGTTTTCCACTGACTATGCTTTTTTCCTTTTCTTACTTTCCTCCAGTTTGATAGATTGAATTTTCTTTGCATACCACAATTTTTTTTCTAGTGGTTTGTAAGTTGTAGCCCATTTTCCAGTACTTCTGTTACTCTCAAATTTTTCATATGCAAATTTGATTATATTTGTCAATTTATATATTATTTTAATCTTATATATTTTAGTCTTTTAGAAATCTATTACCCACCAAAACATGTTCATGCATGTGCGTGCATGCACGCACACACATATTTTCAATCTTCCCTACTTTTTAAAAAATTTTTTTAAGATTTTATGTTTAAGTAATCTCTACGCCCAATGTGGGGCTTAAACTTACAACCCTGAGATCAAGAGTAGTATACTCCACTGACAGAACCAGCCAGGCACCTCTCGATCTTCCCCTTTTAATGCAATCCTCACTTCCATTGCTTCCAAAATTGATAATATCTGGAATTTTGGTGACCAAGTGTCATTACAATAAATTTTTTGCACTAGCCATTAAAAATTATTTAGGCATAAATATAAATTGTACTGGCTTCTTTATATACTGCTGCTTCCTGTAACCTACTTATTCTCTCTCATTGGATTTGTTAGTCATGTTGCTGGATTATACATGCAAGTAATTCTTTCAATTATGTGGATGGTACATTTGATATGTTCTTGCACATCCAAAAATGTGTTCACTTTTTCTTCACCCTTACATAATAACAATTTGTTTGAATATGGGATTTTAGGTTCCAAACCATATGTCCTCAAACCTTTGAAGATATTGACCATTATTCCTCTTTTCTGATGAAAAATATTATACTGCTCTGCTTCTTTGTTCCTTGTACATAGCCTATTTTTCTCTGAAAACTTTTATGATTTTTCTCTTTATTTCTTCTAACATGAAAATTTCCATGATGTGGCTACATGTAATCTTTTTTAAATCACCTCGTTCCATGCTTGGAGGACACTTCTAATATTCAGGTCTTATTTTCTTGGGCCTGGGCTTTTTATTTGATTATTTTCTTCTCTCCGTACTGCCTGTTCTCTCTCCTGGAACTCTTGTTAGATAGAAGTTGAAACTTTTAGTTCTGCCCTTTTGACTCTATATTCTTCTTTCATACTTCCCTTTTTCTTGCTCTTTGCGTTGTATTCTCGGAAAATTCCTCAGCTAGAACTTTTGTTTAGTTAATTTGCTTTTCATCTGTGTTGGTTCTGCTATTGATGTGTCTTTTGGTTTATTTTTATTTTATTCTATTTTATGTTTTTTAAAGATTTTATTTATTTGTTTGAGAGAGAGTGAGCACAAGCAGGTGGAAGGGCAGAGAGGGAAAGGGAGAAGCAGACTCCCTGCCAAGCTGGGAGCCCGATGCAGGGCTTGATCCCAGGACCCTGAGATCATGACCTGAGCCGAAAGCAGATGCTCAACTGACTGGGCCACCCAGGTGCCCTGTTTATTTTTATTTTAAATGACCAGAGTTTTAGTGTATTTTTTTTCATGGCTGAACTGGCATCTCACGTCTCCCTTTGAAGTTCTTCTGTTTGCATTATTTACTCTCTTTCCTTGTGTTCTAATTCTTCCGCCTTTAGGATTTTGATGTCTTTCATTGTGAAGGTTTTCCTTAAATCTTTTAACAGTTGTGGTTTTGTCTTTTATCCAGTTTGTCTTAGACCTCTCTGTTTGCCAGCCTGTATGTGCTATTTTCTACAGCCTGTTTCTAGTGATAAAGGAGGAGGGTTGGAATGTACGGCCAGAGTGGCTTCTATCTGTCTTCTGCTTTAGTGTTCCCCATCTTCCCTGGAATATTCAGCTTCCTGAGGCACTGCTCCATGTTTCCAGCTCTGGGTCCCCACTCACTGCTTGAGCCTATGGGCAAGTATACTTCATAAGCAGAGGAGGGGGAAGAGGCGAATTGACTCACCAGCTCCAAATGCACCTTCCAATTTAATGGCTCCAACAAATCATTTAAACATCTTGTATCTGTTGATTTTGCACGGGGAGCTCCTTTAATCGTGTGTTCTCCAGGAGTTTTCTCCTGAATTTGTGAGTTCTACTTGCCACAGAATTTGATCTTCATAAAGTCAATCCTATCTGTCTCTATCTGCCAATAATCCCCTGAACTTTTAGGGTTCTGGTGGTTCCATATAATAAAGACAAAGAGTAAGCCAGTTCTGTTTTATAAAATCATAATCATGTTTATTTTGTTGCTATGTCAAATTTCTCCCATTGGCCCCTGATTATTTTTAGTTTGAAACAAGATAAGGGGAAATCAGATGATTTGAGTATCTCATTTCTGGTCCACCGACACATTCAGTATGTTTCATTATTTTTTTTTTTTTTAATTCTCAACCTCACTTAGAGCTATGATTAACGTAGATTTGCAAAGGAATTAGAACAAAATTAGAAAAATCTCTTCTGCAATATAACTTAAGAAATGCATCTTAGTATTAATAATTTTTTTTAGTAATTCCTTTCTTCCTTGAAAGACTAAATCCTAAAGGAATAAAGTTCCCTAAACTAATAATAATTGGAATTTCAAGTCTGCAGAAGTCTTCTGTTGTGATGGTTAGTTTCATGTATCAACTTGGCTAGCCCATGGTGTTCAGTTATTCCCCCAACCAAACGCTAATTTAGGTGTTGCTGAGAAGGCGTTTTGTAGATACAGTTAACACTGACCATCAGTTGACTTTAAGTAAACATTACCCTTGATAATGTGGGTGGGCCTCATCTAATCAGTTGAAAGGCCTTAGGAGCAAAGCAGCAGCAGAGCCTTCAGCTCCTACCCGAGTCGCCAGCCTTCCAGTCTGCCCTACTGACATCAGATTTTAGAGTGCCCACAATCACATAAACCATTCCATGAAATACATCTCCATGTAAATATGCAATATACTACTTCATTACCTCATATACATATAAAAATATAAATAAATCTCTCCTCTATATAATTCTCCATTTTTATATAAATATAGACATAAATAAAAATTTATTTATTACGAGCTCTATTTCTCTGGTAGAACCCTCACTGACACATGGGGTGGCGGTCCTTAGGTCTTGAAAGAGAGTGAAAAAAAACTTGCAAGTATAAAAGTGTGGTGTGTATGGTTAGGATTCCCTATCTTTACAAAGTTCCTCTCTTAAGTATTTTTTTAATACAGGCCAGTTAACTCACTGGCTAAGTGATTGAGAAAAAAGAAACCTTCTAAGCAAGAAATTCCTGTTCAACAAAAATTCTTCAGCTCTGAGAAATAATTCTGACTGATATTCTGACATTTCTGAGGGTATCTTTGCTAATTCTCTGTTGGCAGCCCTGGCGGCCACAGCCAGAATCACTTTCCATTGTCATTCCCACCCCCACGGTGCCCACATCCCTACCTTCCTCCCTCTCCTCCCTCCTCCCCCACGACTAACATAATTCGGTACTTTGAAACTTCAATGGCCTCCTCCCAAGATGGTCTAAGCATAAAAGCAATTTGCCTCAAACTACTTCCAATTAATTGTGCTCCTGGCCACACATTTTTCTTCCCAAGTTCCATTCTTTTTAAACCCCCCAGCTGACATTCCAGTTTCCAGTTTTACTGTTTTTCTCCTTGAAATATTTAAAAGCAAACCAAGATCATAAATAGATGATAGATAGAGGCAAAAAAAAAAAAAAAAAAAATGAACAACATTCCCTTCCCCTACACACAAACACACATGATAGATTTTAAGAAACAACAAACCTGATTTCAAATAGTCTGCCCTGTTGTGCATATAAATACTCTTCTGCTGGTCAGATAGATGATTGGACGTTTTCTTCATCAAATATGTTTACCATCAGAGTAACCTTCCCATTGGCAGTTTAAGAAAGCACAGCTTTGGTATCTTTAAGACATTCTTCTCATTCTGATTTTTCTGCAAAACATGCGTCTGAGGGCTTGGGGAAAGAACTGAAGTATCCGGCGTGCAGAGGGGTCAGGCAGACTGTTGGAATTGGCAGAATAAAAGAAACTGCATTCCCAGCATTTTCCCTCTATAACCCCACTTACATACAGCACATACTGTATGACCTTACTGGTTGCTGAAACAAGCATGATATATACTACTTGGTGAGTAGTTTTACAAAAAGAGAGTTTGATCTATGTAGAGAATGTAAGAGAATGGGTTTTAGAATTATTGATTTGTGTACTAATTTGTATCAGTCTACTAGTTGTTGAAATAATCTTTGAGAGAGACCCCCCCCAAGATAATATTTGTAAATCTGTGTTTGGGTGGAAACCAGCTCCTTAGGGGTTCCTGGCTGGCTCAGTGGGAGAGTATGTGACTCTTGATCTCAGGGTCAAGTTCAAGCCCCCCCGTTGGGTATAGAGATTACTTAAATAAATAAACTTAAAAAAAAAAAAAGCTCCTTAGACAGCATTTCTGTACCGTTTTACTCTAACTGCTGCAAAGCAATACTTTCTTCTTTAATTTTTGGTGGAGGATAGGATAAGGTAGAATATCTCAACATGATTCTTATAACACAAGAATTTTTCCTGTGTTATAAATGTAATTCAAGTTCAGCATCTCATGATGTAAAAAATTATGAACTACAAGAAAGTAAAAAAGAATTCAGTACTCATAGTCTGACTACTTAGAGATATTTTAATATTGATTGCATCTTCTTCCTCTGTTCAATCTCTTACAATTCATAACTCAGAATATACTGAATATACCTCTATATTCCATGTTTTTATTTCAAAATTACAGTACTTATCCTAGTATACACTTCATAGTTAATTTTTATTAGCTGAAAATATTCTTTCCAGTGGATCAACTATAATTAACCATTTCCCTACCATTTTTTATTTAGACTGTCTTTACTTCTGATATTATAACATCAGTGCCATTAATATCTTGATGTTGTAGGGAAAACAAAATTTCACTTCTACCCTCTCAGGGTGTCCGGGTGGGGATGAGAGTTAAAATGACAGAATAGAGATTAACAGGGGAAAAGCAAATACATTTTCACATGTACACAGGAGCCCCAATAGGAAAATGAAGACCCAAAGAATTGGCAAAACCTTACTTAGTGCTTTTATCCTAGGTCAGATGAAAAGAGGCAATTGGGGAAAAAGTAGCTGAAATATACGAGGAGACCAAAGGAAGGTAAAAGTTACCTTAACAAGTGCTGTTTCTACAGAATTCTCTCTCCTTGGGCTTCCTCCTAACCCCCCAATCTCTGTTGATAAGAATGTTTCTTTCTTCATGGTACAGGGAGGGCAGCTTTCAACATGGAAGTTTTATCCCCAGCTTTCAAGAAAAGGGGAGATCAGAATGCCCTTTTTGCGACTGGTGTTTTTCAAGTGCCTAGAGCGCAAAATAACCCTCGTGCCATATTCCGGGGTGGCACATTCCGCCAGCCCTCGGGGCATATACAATTCTATTCCTTAGGATAGATCTCTCCGGAAATGGAATTGTAGTGTCAAAGGGAGAAGCTATTTGTTAAGCCTTTGACACATGAAAGACAATACTAAAAATCAAAGAATGTGCTATTTAACGATCGTCTTTTTTGTTTGAGAAGGTCCTTTACTTGATGATGTGCTTTTCGCCGCTTTCATAAACTTAGAGGATGAAGGCACCTTCGCTCCGTTTTGCTAATGAGGGGCTCTGTCTCCCTAGGACGACTCACGATCAGATTTTAGTGGTTTCCTAGAGATGGCCCGAGAACACATTTCCATTACCTGTGGTAACTGGGGACTTATCTCACATGAAGAATTTAGCGTGTATGTGGCCAACCACCAAATCTTAGCTTAGGTCATCACTTTCAATCCCTCTTCTCCCCCAGTACTAAGAAAGACCTCATGTTTCCCATTCGCCCTGGCCTGTGGCGAAAGTCCTAATGAACGGTGAAGTAGGAATCAGGCCTTGGGGATTTAGAAATGGAGTCTGAACTAAATCCAAGGCCGTCCACTAATGTGCAGGGCTGTCACCCTCCACCACCCTGCCTTTCCAGCCTCGACTTCAGCGCCAAAGGGGCGGGACTTCACGTTTCCGAGCAACCGCCTGCTGTCTCCCGATTGGCTGGCCGCCGCACGGCCGCCATTTTCAAACCCCGGAAGATGGCGGCGTTGGTGGCGGCGCCCTCCTGACAGGAACTGCTCTCCGGGCAGAAGCGGTCGGGCGCGGTGCCCGTCCCAGCGGGTCTCCCGGGCACCCGGCCACCGCCCCACCCCCACCCCCCTCCGCGCCATGGAGCCCGAGCTGGCGGCCCAGAAGCAGCCCCGGCCGCGGAGGCGAAGCCGCCGGGCCTCCGGGCTCAACGCGGACGGCGCCGGGGGACCTTCGGCCGACACCCCCAGGCCTGAGCTGGACGGCGGGTAAGCGCGGGGGGCGGCAGCGACGTGGGGACCCGGGCGTCGGGTCCGAGGCCGGACGGGGAAGGGGGGAGAGAGGGGAGGGACGCGGGGAGGTGCGAGCTGCTCACCCCCCTCCTCGTCCTCCAGACCTTCCTCAGGCAGGGGCGCGCGCTCTTTACTCACCTCTCCATCCTCCTCCTCCTCCTGTTCTTCAGGTGGGGGCGCGGGCTGCCTACCCTCTTCCTCCTCCACGTCCTCCTCCTCCTCCTGGCCTTAGCCGAGGGCGCGGACTGCTGACCCTCCTCCTCCGGGCCCTTCTCAGGCGGGGCGCGGGTTGCTCCCCCTCCTCCTGCTCCTCTCTTCCTGCACTTCTTCCTCTTCCTCCTCTGGCGGGGGCGCAGGCTGCTCCCGCCCCTCCTGCTCCCGCCTCCCCCAGGCGGCAGGGGTGGGGGGCGGCGCAGGCGGTCGGAGGTGGTGGGTGGGTTCTTCACCCGCTGCCGGGCCACGGCTGCCGCGGGAGCGGGTCCTAAATGCGAACCGGGAGCCTGGAACTGGCCTGTAGCCTGCGGGCGCCGGGAAGAGCCTTCGTCGCTGGAGCCGGACGACTTGTAACAGGCACGAAACTTTTAGCCTGAAAGCGAGCGTTCACGTGAACTGTCTTGCGGGACGCCAGCATTCTTGTTTTCGAGAACTGGGCACGTTGGGGAACCGAGCACAGCTCCCGGTTCCAGCCTCCCGGGTGAAGAGATGGCGGAGGATGGCCGCTGACTTTTTCACTGTTAACACATTTCACCTTCTGTCTCGTGTGTCTGGAAAGGGTGGGCACTGGAGGGTTTCAGAAGGCTGTGTCTGGAAGAGGAGCGCTGTAAGGAAGTACTGAGAACTTCGCTTTCGCATCACACTGTTGGAGGTGGCAGGGTCCAATGACTGCGTGTCGGACCTTTCATCTCTAAGGCTATGTTCTCATCTGTACCATGGGGACTATAACAGTACCCCTTCCATGTGGTATATATATACAATGGAATATTATGCAGCCATCAAAAGGAATGAGATCTTGCCATTTGCAACGACGTGGTTGGAACTGGAGGGTATTATGTTGAGTGAAATAAGTCAAACAGAGAAAGACATGTATCATATGATCTCACTGATATGAGGAAGTCTTAATCGCAGGAATCAAACTGAGGGTTGCTGGAGTGGGGGGTGGGGTGGGAGGGATGGGGTGACTGGGTGATAGACACTGGGGAGGGTATGTGCTCTGGTAAGCGCTGTGAATTGTGCAAGACTGTTGAATCTCAGATCTGTACCTCTGAAACAAATAATGCAATATATGTTAAGAAAAAAAAAAGAAGAAGAAGAAGGTAGCGGGAGGGGAAGAATGAAGCGGGGGAAATCGGAGGAGCAGACGAACCATGAGAGACGATGGACTCTGAAAAACAAACAGGGTTCCAGAGGGGAGAGGGGTGGGAGGATGGGTTAGCCTGGTGGTGGGTATTGAGGAGGGCACGTTCTGCATGGAGCACTGGGTGTTGTGCGCAAACAATGAATCATGGAACACTTCATCTAAAACTAATGTTGTAATGTAAGGGGATTAACATAAGAATAAAAAAATTAAAAAAAAAAAAAAAAAAAACAACAGTACCCCCTTCCTAGAAATGGTGAAATTTAGCAAGATGATGCATGTACCGGGTGTACATGGTACCTACACAGAGAGCTCTCGACATAAGTTAACTGTTATTTGTTGGTTTCTACCTGTTAGAATTCCACATCTCATCATTTCAGAAGTCCCTGTGGTCCATTTCACGTATTGCTTTGGGCAAACTACAGTCCCTTACATATTCCAGTTATACCTGGATGTGCTGATCCCTTTTGAGAGCCAGGACACCTTACTTACCAGGAAGGCATTTATAAACCCGTTGTTAAGTTACTCTGCAGAAATCTAGGGTTTTTTTCATTAGAAACTGATTTTTATTATTTTGAAGTTTAGGGTACTCCTTGTCTTAATATACCTTTGTAAAATCTTTGTACTGATTCCAGCTTCTATTTAAGAGGTAGTGAGAGAGCAGAGAGAAAAAAGTCAACTCAGACTGAGAGATGGAAAGACTGGCTAAGGAAAATAGAATTTCAGAAATATCAAACAGAGGCAGTGTTAAATTCATTCTACATTCATTCTGTAATACTGTTGAGCACCTTCCAGACATTGTTGTAGATACTGGGAATTCTGGTGAATAAATAGATGAAGTCCCTGTTCTCATGAATCTTAAATTCTGATGGGGGAGAAAGACAATAATCAAATATATATAATATCAGGTGGCCATCCTGTGAAGAGAATTAAGGCATGGATAGTCATAAGGAAAGGGTAGTGTTGCTGGGTTTTTTTTTTGTTTTGTTTTTTAAGATTTTTTTATTAGAGAGAGAGAGAGAGAGACAGCAAGAGAGGGAACACGAGCAGGAGGAGTGGGAGGAGGAGAAGCAGGTTTCCCGCTAAGCAGGGAGCCCAATGCGGGGCTCCATCCCAGGACCCTGGGACCATGACCTGAGCCGAACGCAGACGCCCAGTGTTGCTGTTTTTAAAAGAGCAGAAGGAAAAGCCTCTCCGATGATGACATTTGAGATCTGAAGAAATTAAGGAACTAAGCCATGTGAATATTTGGAGAGAGGGGCAGCAAGTGCAAAGGCCTTAAAGTAGAATCTCATTTGGTGTGTTTAAGGAACTGCCAAGAAGCCAAGCCGAGTGGAGTGAAACAAAGGGAAGAAGCGCAGAGGATGAGGTCAGAGAGATGGCTGGGGCAGATGATGCAGTACCTGAGAGACCATTGAAATGACTTTAAATTTAAATTAGTTGGGAAGCAAGAGGAAATGATGTGACCTATATTTACAAGGACCACTGTGACTGTTATAAGCAGAGACCAATTAGGGAGGGTTTTGCAGTGGAGACATCATATCAGAGTGGGAGATGTGGAAAATATTCATATTTGGGATGTGTTTGAAAATAGAGCTGACAGAATTTGCAGATAGATTAACTGGAGTTAAGAGAAAAAGTGGAAGGATCACTGAGGTTTTTGGCCTGAGCACCAGAAGGATGGGTTATACTCTTCTCAGAAGGAAGACTATGGGAAAAGTTTGCTTTGGGGTAGGTTATGAGACTCTTATTAAAGAGTTCATCACAATTTTTTTTCTTTTTCTTTTTTTTTTCAATTGAAGTATACAACATAGAATGTTTTATTCGTTTCAGGTGTACAGTATGGTGATTCAGCAATTCTATACATTATTCTAGTCATTACCCTCTTTTTTGCTTTTTTTTCTCTTTTTTTAACCTCTTATTGAACTATAAAACTTGAATGAAAGAGTGCACAAATCATAAAAGTTTAGGTCAGTTAAATTTCAGAAAGCAAACCCACCTGTGTAACCAGATATAAATTTGAGAGTTGTGAGCATATAGACTTGAAATCATGGAACTGGGAAGTCATCTAGATAGTGAGTATAAATAAAGAAGAGTTTGAAGACTAACTCCTGAGGCACTCCCAACATTTTAAGGTCAGGGTAAAGAGGATACTCAGAGGGAGCAGCTGGTGAGGTAAGAAAATCAAATAAGAACAGCATCTAGGAGGGCAAATGAGAGGATTTCAAGAAAGAGGATATAGTAGACTATATCAAATGTTACTGATAAGGAAGGACTAGAAAGTTTAAGTTAAATAAGAAATAAAAAGACCATTAAATCTGGCAATCATAGACTAGTTAAAATACTGAATTTAGAATGTTTGCAGGGTTTGTGAAGAGAATGAGGTATGATTTATTAGGAAACATGTAAGACACTAGAAATAGGAGATGGAAAATACTATCCTTACTCTAAAAGAATTTATAATTTTATAGGGAAGAAAGATAAATTAATAATTATAATTGTGATAAAATTTACTGTAGAAATATACACAGGATGCCATAGATGCAAATAAAAGGAACACTTATAAAAAGAACAGAAAATGATTTCCTATTGAAATCCCTGAGTCTTGGAGGACCAGTTTAGAGAGGTGTAAATGGGTGATTTTATATGGGGGAGAAGCATGCTAAAAGGCCCTGAGGCAAATGAGCATGAGTTCTAGGTATCATACCTGGTTGGCAGTGACTGGATGCTAATTGTGTAGGGGGGAGGACTTGGGGATACTGATGAAAGATTATGCTAAAGAGGTAAGAGCCACATCTTGAAGGAGCCCTTGTATGCCATGAGAGTTTGGGTGTTTTGGGGTTTTTTTTTTAAGTTTTTTAAATTTATTTATTAGAGAGAGAGAGCACAAGCAGGGGGAGTGGCAGGCAGAGGGAGAGGGAGAAGCAGGCTCCTCGAAGAGTAGGGAGCCCAATGCGGGGCTCCATCCCAGGACCCCAGGATCATGACCTGAGCTGAAGGCAGTCTCTTAACCAACAGAGCCACCCAGGCACCCAGAGAGTTTGGGTTTTATCTTCAAGGTGATGGGGAGATACTGAAAGACAAGCCAATAACATGATCATATTTGCATTTTAAAAGGTCATTCTGGGGCGCCTGGGTGGCTCAGTCCTTAAGTGTCTGCCTTCAGCTCAGGTCATGATCCCAGGGTCCTGGGATCGAGCCCCACATGGGGCTCCCCGCTCCGCGGGAAGCCTGCTTCTCCCTCTCCCACACCCCCGCTTGTGTTCCTGCTCTTGCTAACTCTCTCTGTCAAATAAATAAATAAAATCTTAAAAAAATAAAATAAAATAAAAGGTCATTCTGCCTTCATTGAAAAAAATAGGTAAGGGGCGCCTGGGTGGCTCAGTTGGTTAAGCGACTGCCTTCGGCTCAGGTCGTGATCCCGGAGTCCCAGGATGAACTCCCACATCCGGCTCCCTGCTCGGCGGGGGGTCTGCTTCTCCCTCTGACTCTACCCCCTCTTGTGCTCTCTCTCTCGCTTTCTCTCTCAAATAAATAAAATCTTAAAAAAAATAAAGTAACATTTGGGATCATAACACTCCTTAAGTCTTAGAAAAACTATTCCCAAAAAAGTGCTGATATACGTAAAATTTCAAATTTGTGGTCCCTTGCAGTCCAACTATGGATACCAAATTTAAAATCCCAAATATATACAATGACTTGGTGGGAAGTCAGTCTGAAGTATCTTGGATGAAAAATGATGAGTGTTTAAATCTGAGAGCTGGCAATGAGATTGGAAAACAAGAAATATTGAGTGTGAATTGTACTTTGAAGAAGTTTCACTGCAACAGGAAGGCAAGAAATAATGGAGGGAGGCAACACAATTTTGTGGGGCAGATGGGATAAACTTGATATGCTTGGGAGATAGGTAGAGGGAGAAGTTGAAGAGACAGGAGAGAAGGGATGATTAAGCAAGCAGCCAAGAAGGCAGAAAAGGATGGAATTCAAATTAAGTGTAGAGAATTTAGCCTGGCTAAGAGCTATGGATGGTATACCTTTAGGTAAGTTTTGGGGAATGGGGTAGGTTGTGAGAAGGAATTTGAGGCTTCCATTTTTTTGTGTTTGAAGGTGGAAATGAGGTCTGCTGAGGAAAGGGTAGTAACACAGGCAGCATGAGGATAGAAATGAAGTTAGAAGAACCTTGGAGGCAAACCAGGGAGTGAAGTAACTAATCTATATTCCATTTTCCAGAAAGGATGTAAGACATCTACAAAAATACATAAAATATGATGGGGTAATATCAATTAATAGTG